AGGTGTTCAAAGGCCGATTCGCGAGGCAAAGGCATAGCAGAATAAAGAATTATACGGTTTGAGGTAAGTAAAAGTTCTAAATTTGGTCTTGAGGGTATGAAACCCCAGATTATGTGTTATATGATCGGTGTTGAGGTGACGCACATGCTAGGTGACGGACTTGTGGGCGTGCACCGTAGGAATTGTGACGTGGTCAAATTTTATGGAACTATGTAATTGAATAATTTGTTGTTATCTGTACATTCTCCATGTAGTGGATAAATTGAACCATAAATCATGTTTAGATTATGTATTGGCACCGTAGGGACCCACATAGGTCGTGTACATATTGAATTATCTGCTAAATTGTAGTTTTGTACTCAGTCACAATTTACTTATTTATTTTATCTCAGTCTCTATTGTTCATTATTGATGCATCATATCATTGTTGTTTGGGCTAATTTTCATGATTATTGAGAGCCCGAGAGACTGGAAAGATTTATGACTGAGTGAGGCCGAGGGCCTGGTTGTGAGATATTATACTATAGCACGCAAGTTATCCGTGCGGATACAGATATTATACTAGCACATGAGTTGTCCGTGCAGATTATAGCGCTTGGGCTGAAGGAGCCCCTCCGGAGTCTGTACATCTCCCCCCCTCCAAATGAGTGCAAGTACCTACTGAGTGCGAGTGTTGAGTGAGTGGGATGACTGAGTGACAATTTCTCTAAGATGATATTATCTCTATGATTTGTACTACAATTGTCATATATCCCTGTTCTGGAAAATTTCTGAAAGATATTATCTCCTGTTTCAGTCAACCTGATATGAAATTACTGTTTGGGCCTTAATTGTTGAACTTGCAAGCATGCCTACTTTCTTATATTGGAAATTATTGTAATTGGACTTAGCTGAGAAGCTAGTCACTACTTTCAGTTATTTATTTAGTATTATTACTTGCTGAGTTGGTTGTACTCATACTATACCCTGCACCTCGTGTGCAGACCCAGGTACTTTCGTATACGATGATTGCTAGTTCTCAGATTTTTATCTGTTGGAGATTATCGAGGTAGCTTCTTGACGTCCACAGACCTTGACCCTCTTCTCTTTCTGTTTTTGTACTGTTCTAAATTTTTAGACAGTGTTTTTAGCAGTCAGAAATTGTTATCATTTAGATACTCATGTCTCAGTGACACCAGGGTTTGGGAATGTATTTATATCCAGTATTTGTGGGATTTTCTCTTAAACTTAATTATTATGTTTTCAGTATTTAAAAAAAATATGGGTTATTGATGTTGTCAGCTTTCCTAGTATTGATATAGGCGTCATCACGACAAGTGTGATTTTTGGGTCGTGACAATTTATTTTTTCCTTGTATCAACTTTATGATTGTCGAGTCTGTTGTTTATTTCCCACTTTGAGTCTGCTATGTTCTTTTCAATGTATTTTCAGTTTGAATTCTGTTTTGATGCCGTTTTCGAGTCATGTAATGATAAACCCAAAAAGATTTTGTTTAATGAAAATATTAAAAACCTAAAAATAGTCTTCTTTTATTTTTGCATTCATTTCCCTGAATTATGTAATGGTGTGATTCATGCGGCGTCATGATACGTAGGCAATCCCCGAAGGATCCGATCTAAACCATGAATAAAACCCGAGTAAGAAAAGCAAAACAAAGAATAAAAAACAGAGAGTAATAAAACCAAAAGAGAGGTTGTTAGAAAGGTAAAGAAAAGAGGGATATGAAAGAAGTGAAATAATAACTGAAGCCGGAATGAGGCATGCAACCGTTCGAACAAATGATAGAAGCGTTTTAACTGCTAGGTGCATTGCATCTTTACGTGTGATTTTCTTATCTTTTAATTGCTCTAAACTAACGAGTTTGTTGTATGTGTCAAAAAAGTTTACTTTTTTGGTGGTTAGTTTGTGGTAATGTGGCCTCTCATCCATATTTCACCCGTTCAAAGAGAAGTGCACCAATGGCCTATAAAAGCAACTTGCCTTTTGTCAACCTAGAAGATAGTCTAACACCATACATTCCGCCAGAATCAGCCACAACCGAAGAGAATAGACTACTTCGAGTCCGCATGATAGAAATGTGGGATGTGTGGGTGAATGGAAAAAACCCCTTTTGTTATCCGTGGGTTCCCAGAAATGGTTCCTAGGACATCCAGGATTACAAGTGTCCCCATGCCAAACCCGTTCTTCCCTTATGGGTACGGTCCCACACCCAACAGTGTTACTAAAATGCCTTATGCTGCTCGTCCCCAAGCATCGGTACCAAGAGTAGAACTAGTGGTCATTTCTGCGGCTCCCACCTTCACCATCCTACAACCAAACATACCAAGATCATACACTGAGCCACCAACTTTCACTCCATAGGGTTCTTATTTTTCGCTCGAGATCACCAATGCTACACCCGATTCATTCAACCAAACCCCTCAGTATAACTTTTCAGTTGAAGTGGAGAGACCTTCTAAGAATGTTGAGCAAGAGGAAATGGCTTGAAAGATGAAAAGTTTAGAACAGAGCGTGAAGAACATGCAAGGCCTAAATGGCCAGAAAAGTGTTTCTTACTCTGATTTGTGCATGTTCCCACATGTGCATCTACCTACCGAATTTAAAACTCCTAAATTTGAGAAGTACGGTGCGCGTGGTGACCTTTCGCCCTCACTAAACCAACTTAAATCTGAACTACGATTCAGATCAAGTCTTACCGAAATAGGATTTTCTTTTCGTGCCATATGCGCTTAGACTTTAGTTTTTCCCTTTTTTTCTTCCCAGTCCTATATTTGTTATCGAAGGTCTTCATTTCCGTGTAGAAGTAAACTCTCCAAATTTATGACCAACCTTTCCTTCAGTAATCTTACAACGAACAGGAGTTTTTCCATTGTAAATTCGTACGGAGCAATCAACGAATTCCGGCGAAATAGAAGATCTACGTGACCAAAGTTTAATAGATACTGTAACCAGTTGAGGGGCACCAGTGGTAAAAAAGAGTTGTTGATGACATATTTCAGTGAGAGTCTCTTTGGGATTGCTTCAGAATGGTATATGGACCAATAAAACTCGCACTGGCACGTGTGGGATGACCTGGCTCGAGACTTTGTCCGCCAGTTTCAGTACAATATGGATATTGCACCCAATAAGAATTCTATTCCAAATTTGAAGAAGAAGTCCATGGAAAGTTTTCGTTAATACGCCAAAAAATGGAGACAACAAGCGGCGAGAGTCAAACCGCCGATGGATGAGGCAGAAATGATCATAGTGTTCCTTCAAGCCCAAGATCCCGATTAAAAAGTAACCTTTGGACTCACACATACTTATACTTGTGAGTACATAATTTTTGCCTCAATGGAAATTACTCCTAAAATACTTCAAAATGGTCTTTTTATCATTTTTTACTTTTATAGAATTGTAAGAATTTCTCTTTATTTGTTTGTGTACATTTATTTTATTTTAGAGATTTTTACATGGTAGGACTCTTATTAAATATTTTTTATACAAAGAGTAGTACTTTTGTTTATTCCAAAAAAAAGCACATTCAATTTACAGTTATAGTAGTTTTAAAGATTCCTTACCTTATTTAATAGCTATCAATTTCTTAAACATTTAAACACTAACCTACAATTTAAGGGATTAATTTTGTGCCATATTAATCTATCCACAATTCTCTCTCATCATTAATTTGAACTTTCTAAACTTACCGTTTGTCTATGTAATGTTTCTTCAAATAAATAGTTGCTCTTAAAATCACATTTTTGTTATTCTCTCAAACAAATATACAAAATACACGCATATCTTTTAATTTATATAGTATATATTTGATATGTGTGTGTATATATATAATTTTGTACATATTCTGTGTATGTATTATATATTTAATGCATAATTTATCTATATTTAACAAAATCTGAATATATTTTATGTATATTTGACATATAGAATATATATTTTTATATATATGAGGTATCTATTATTTATTATTCAATATACATTAATTGTATAAATAGTAACAAATTTAATATTTACATGCTTATGTATACCATTGTTATTCCTTATGTATAAATATACGGTAAATAAAATTCAACATATAATATACTTTAAATAATATTAAATAACTTTTTTATTGAATTAAATTCTTTTTGTGATAAGATTTTCGCTCAAAAAAGGGTATACTATGCCGACCGGGAGGAAGGAGTTATTTTTGGAATGAAATAATCCTCCCAATAAGTTTCCAGTCATATTTGCTTATTTTTAGCACTATTGCTCATTCTTAGAAAACTGAATCACTTTGGGCACTTTTTTAGGAATGAAATTATTTGGATATTTTCTTAAACGTGATTATTGATCCATGTTTATAGCTTTCTGATAAGATATGTATTTATTTAGCTGCTATGTTAGTAAAATACCTATTGTTGCTAGGTTTTTGAAAATATTTCTTAAATTTTGTCCACATGTGTTTTTCCCCTACATTTTATTGTATTTATTTGCATTTTTCGCATAATTAGGAACACTTTAAATAATAAAAAATATTTGTTGTTATTTATTTATTGTACTTTAGGACTTTAGTTGTATTTTTAGCACTAACCGCATTTTGATTGCATTAAAAATACAAAAATCATAAAAAAGGATTAATCATCATTCATTTTGCAATTTTTAGGATTTGTTAGTTGCATAATTAATTAGCATAGTAGGTTAATTTTAATTTTAATGGTTGATCATTAGATCATTATGTGATTAGGACAATTGTGCAAAAAGGAGAATTTAATTGGATTTAGAATTAAAAGGAGTTTAATTGTGCAAAGGAAAGGAAAAGGAAAGGGGCCACTTCTGCTCTAGTAAACTGGCCTGGCCAGTCTGATGGCCCAATTTGAAACCCTATACCCATCTGGCCCATCACCCAATCCACACCCGAGTCCCTAAGAGTTTCAAACGGCGTAGTTTCATTCCAAAACTATGTTGTATCGCCAATTTACCACATTAAAACAAAATTAATCACCTTTGAAGCCACCCCAATTCTCTTCGCCCCAATTTGGAATCCGGGGTGGCCGAAAATCATTTTCGTCGCCCTCCGCCGCCACAGGAAACCTCCAGACATCCCTAATTTATCACCATACACTCCCTATCCTCTCCCCATCCATATTCTGATATTAGTTTCCTCTAAAAACACACAGAACTCCTTCAATAGCAGATCTAAAAATTGAGAACCTATCCAATCTGCCTCTTTCTCGATTCTTTTTCAATCACGGCCCAATTGGTGATGAAACCTACACCAATCGACTAGTCTCGATGAGAACTATCGATTTGTGTTAGTCCCAAACTATTTCATGACCCCCAAAATCCGGCTAGACCCCTTCCAAATTCCTCCGGCTTGCTAGAGGTATTGTTACATGTAACACTGGCTTGCATAAGGAAATTTCGGCCAGTGTTAGTGTAACAATCCCTTCGGCCTGCCGGAAATCCTTTTGGCCGATCCGTTTGAACTCCGATGGGTACATTTCTCCCTTTATTTCTTTTGGCTTTTATTTGTATTATTATTTGTTTCTTTCTTGTATCTCTACCTAGCTTAAAAGGCATGACTTATTATCTATTTTGTTTCATATTAGTTTTTAAGCATGATTAGTTGTAGCCACGGCATGCTAAGAGTATTTAGATTTCTTGATCGATTGATTGAATACAATTGATGTTAGTCACATGATTAATTATTATTGAGCATGTTGAATGGTTCGAATTTCATGATTAGTCCTGTTTCTTTTGATCTTATTGTTTAGGTCATCGTCCATTCTTTAGAATACTAAATCAGTTCCTTAGTTGGTTTTCTGTTTCATTTAATTGATAAATGGGTCTTCTAGGATTTGGTTAGTTCTGCATTGAATTTAGAAAGGTGGACTGACTAGGTATAAGGTTTGATAAAGGAGGTAATAGATCTAGGCCTAATTTTATGAGGTCAGGCAGGTTTAAAGTAAAAAAAAAAAGATAACAATGAGAGGTAAAAAAATAAAATAGGGGAGGTTCTAGAAGAATTTAATTGAGCTGGAAGCAAAAACTCTTAGAGAAATTTTATGGGAAAAAGAAAAGAGGGATAAAGGGATTCTGATCGATATTTAGGAGGAAGATCGAAAAGATACTTAACATGTCTTAAGTGGAAAGAGATCAGTCGGTGTTCAATTCACTTTTTGGGGTCTTTTAGAGTATCAAAAGTCTTCTGATTTTATGGGAAACAAGTGTTTGAAAGCTGGTAGACAATTACTGTTGTGCTTGCTGTTATTTCAATTGAGTTGTTGAGCTTCATTATCTTGTTCCTTGATGTATCTATTTACTTTTATTTTATATCCATTTCTAGGTACCCATTTTCTTCTGTTTAGTCATTACTTTCTCCTTCTTCATAAATAAAATATCATGGTTTCACCCCTGTTCAACTATGCTATATGAACTATAGATATTTTTTGTATCACTTTACCTGAGACATGAATCCTTGTGATTTATCTTTTTATTTTGTTGAATCTTGGGTACCTATGAAGCATAAGTAGATACGTGCAATAGGTGTGTGAATTTCATATTTTTCTTCTGGTTAGTGGGTCGTTGAACTTGTTGGATGTGACAAAGTTTGAAAATGTATTTTTTTTTCCAATAGTGACAAAGCTCATGTTGCACATTCGTAGAATGGGTACATTTTGAATAGGAAGAGTATGAAGTTAGAAGTGGTTAATGTTATACAATTGGTTATTATGTAAAATTCAGATATGATTATTAATGTGAACTATGAGATGCCAATTGGGTGCTTGTAATGACCCGGTCGGTCGTTTTGAGAGTATTAGCCCCGAACCCCTATTTATTGCTCTCTCTATTTCATTTTGTGGTTACGTGATTAGTCGGGGGATTTATTTTTGGTTTCGGAGTGAAATGGAACACATAGTCCCTAAATTGAGAGTTTAAGTTCTAGGAATTAACCGTAGTTTGAACTATATGAAGACGACCTCGGAATAGAGTTTTGACAGTTTCGATAGCTCTGTAAGGTATTTTGGTCTTAGAAGCATGTCCGGATGTTGATTTAGAGGTTCGTAGGTTATTTCGGCGTTAATTGGCGAAAGTTGGAAAATTGGATGATTTTTGGAAAGTTTGACCGGGAGTTGACTTTTTGATATCGGGGTCAGATTATGATTTCGGAAGTTGGAGTAGGTCCATAATGCCAATAATGATTTGTGTGCAAATTTTAAGGTCAATCGGACTTGGTTTGATAGGTTTCGGCGTCGGATGTAGAAGTTTGAAGTTTTAAAATATATTAGGCTAGAATCGATGTGTAATTCATATTTTTAGCGTTGTTTGATGTGATTTAAAGGCTCGACTAAGTTAGTATGATTTTAGGACTTGTCGGTGTATTTGGTTGAGGTCCCGGGGGCCTCGGGTGAGTTTCGGATGGTTAACGGATCGAAATCGGACTTAGAACAAAGCTGAGATTTTTTGCCTTCTAGTGCAATCGCACATGCAGAACTATTTTCGCAGGTGCGCTACCGCAGGTGCGAATGGCAAGGCACAGAAGCGTATTTGGGGCTTGGCCTGGGGCTGCGTCGCAGGTGCGTGAAGCTTTCTGCATCTGCGAGCTCGCACGCTTCACCACCTGCGAGCTCGCAAGTGCGAGCCAGAGGCCGCAGATGCGGAGTGAAGGGGGCAGCTGGTTCTGCAGAAACGGCAGTGTCGACCGCAAAAGCGAGGCCGCAGAAGCGGACCTCTTGTCCGCAGAAGCGGAAAAAGCCACAGAAACGGGGAGGACCTCGCATCTGCGAGACAGCAGATGCGGTTAAGTACTCTGTTGAAGCGGAAACACTGGTCAAGCTACAAAACAGAAGGGGTTCGACATTTTTGTCATTTTTGGACCTTTCAAACATGGGTTGAGGCGATATTTGAGCGAGAATTCATGGGAAAACTTGAGGTAAGTCACTTGTGTTCATTGTTAGTCAATAATATTAAATTATCATTGAGTATTTTGACTAGATTATGTGTTTTTGAGATGCAATTCGAGGATTTGAGCCTAGGAATTTGAAAATAAGATTTGAGGATTTGAAGGTCGAGTTAATGTCGGATTTTGGTAAAATTGGTATGGTTGGACTCGTGGTCGAATGGGTGTTCGTATTTTATGACTTTTACCCGATTCTGAGACGTGGGTCCGGGTCGACCTTTTGGGGGTGATGTCCTAATTTCTTGCTAAAGTCGTAGTTTCATTACTTCAATTATTTTCTTGTAGTTGTATTTATAGTATGTACTTGGTTTTGGCTAGATTTGGTCGGAGTCGCAAAGTCGAGGGAAAGGCATTCTTATCGACTGATTGAGCGATATTTGAGGTAAGTGACTTGTCTAACCTTGTGTAGGGGAAACTCCCATTAGGTTTTGGTATTGTTACGATATCTGAAATACGGAAAGCCCGCGTACGTGAGGTGACGAGTGCGTACTCGGGTTAAATGTTGAAAAATATGGTTCTTGTTGGGTAGTTTTCTTTTAAATCCTTAACTGAGTCGTTCTAGTCTGTGTAGTCACCATGTTTAGCGTAATGTAGCATGTCTATGTGCCTTAACTCTTACTTGTAATTTGTGCAACATGCTTAGTTGAATTACTTGCTTCCGTGATCTTGTATTCAGTCTTTAGCTGTATGATTCCTTGCTGTAAATTCATTGTTTCATAGGTTATGAGTTGTGTATTTACTTTTGGGACTACGAGGGGGTGCCTCGGGAGCTCCCCTATCGTGTATTTACTTTTGGGACTACAAGGCAATATCTCAGGAGCTCCCCCTTTCGTATATTTACTTTTGGTACTCTGAGGCGGTACCTCGGGAGATCCCATGTTGCATATTTACTTTTGGGACTACGATGCGGTACATCGGGAGATCCTCTGTTGCATATTTACTTTTGGGACTACGAGGTGGTACCTCGGGAGATTCCCCTGTTGTGTATATGCATTTGGGGCTACGAGGTTATACCTTGGGAGCGCCCCTATTGTTTACCTCTATTTGTTGTGCTGCTACCTTTCTGTAATTTCTCATTATTCATTTCTCAATCATTTTATTGTATTATTATATTTTCTGCCTAGGGCCCTGACCTGACCTCGTCACTACTCTACCGAGGTTAGGCTTGACACTTACTAGGTACCGTTGTGCAGATCCAGGTACTGCTTACCAGACCATATACCAGTGAGCTAGACTGTACGTGGAGACTTCAAGGTACATATGCCAGCAACCGCAGACTCCGGAGTCCCCATCTATCCTTATTTTGTTCTTCTCCTTATTCTCTTTGGACTCTAATGTATAGAGACACTTAGTATTTTTCTCTTAAAAGCTTGTGACTTATTTCTATCGGGTTTTGGGAGTTGTAGTTATTTAAATCACAATTTTTATTTATATTTCATATGTCGAGAATTTGAGTTCAGTTGTATATTCAGTTATTCCGCAAATTGTTAGGCTTACCTAGTCTTAGAGACTAGGTGCCATCACGATATCCGACGGAGGGGAATTGGGGTCGTGACATGTTGGTATCAGAGCACTAGGTTCATAGGTGTTATGAGTCACAAGTAGGTTTAGTAGAGTCTCGCGGATTGGTACGGAGACGTTTGTACTTATCTTTGGGAGGCTATGAAACTGTTAGGAAAAACTTCACTTCTTTGATTCCTTATCGTGCGAGATTTTGTCTTCGAATTCTAAATTTCTGTCTTTCTATTCTTTCACAAATGGTGAGGACACGTACAACTTGATCAGATGACCACACACCTGCGCCCCTTGCTAGAGCCGTGAGAGACCGGGGGCGGGGTAGAGGCCGAGGACATCCATGTGGTGCAGTCAGAGCACCCGTACGGGCTGCTACAGAGGAGCCACCAGTAGCTCCAGTTGGAGGGCAGGCACTTGAGATGCCTGTTACTACACCAGCCCTCTAGGAGACTCTAGCCGGATTTCTGAGCATGTTCAGTACCTTGGCTCAGGCAGGATTGATACTACTTGCTCTTGCTACATCTCAGGCCGGGGGAGGAACACAGATTCCCGTCGCCGGTACCCCAGAGCAGCGGGTCCAGGTCGACCAGGTTCTAGAGATCATACTGATGCAGCCTGTAGCTCCAGATCAGCCCGAGGTTAGAGTAATAGTTTCTGAGGTGAAGCAGCTCAGGCTCGAGAGGTATAAGAAGTACCACCCGCCTACTTTCAGTGGCTTGGTGTCAGAGGATCTCCAGGGTTTCCTTGAGGAGTGCCACCGTATCCTTCGTACTATGGGTGTTGCAGAGACTAGTGGGGTTTCTTTCACTATGTTCCAGCTTAGAGGAATGGCTTATCATTGGTGGAGAGCATATGGGTTGGGTAGTCTGGCCGAGGCAGCTTCACTCACTAGGACTCAGTTCTCAGATATGTTCTTGAGGGAGTATGTTCCCCAAAGTCTCAGAGATGCATGGCGCGCAGAGTTTGAGCAGTTGCACCAGGGTTCTATGACCGTGTCAGAGTATGCGGTCTGATTCAATAATTTGGTTAGGCATGCACTGCCTTGGTTGCTACTGTCCGGGAGAGGGTTCGTCGATTTATTGAGGGGCTCAACCCCAGTATCAGATTTAGCATGGCTCGAGAGTTGGAGATTGATATTGCGTACCAGTAGGTAGTGGGGATTGCTAGGAGGTTGGAGGGTATGCTGACTCGGGAGAGAGAGGAGAGAGAGGCCAAGAGGTCTCGAGAGTCTGGCACTTATGGTGGTACTCGTGCCCCAGCTGCAGCTCGTCAGGGCAGGGGTTATATGGGTCGCCTTGTTCATTCAGCACTTCGAGCTGCCAGTGGTGCTCTGGACAATCCTAGGCCCTAGGATCCCTATTATGCATCGCCAGTGTCTAGTGTACCTCCTGTACGTGGTGCTTTCAGTGGTCAATCCAGTCGATCGGGCCCGAGCCAGTCGCAGCAGTCATGTCCTCCGAGAGCTTGTTTTGAGTATGGTGACACTCGTCATGTGCTGAGGGATTTCCCCAGACTCAACAAGGGTGCACCTCCACAGATTTCCCAGGCACTGCGTGCTCCACTAGGTCCTCATGCTATGATTACAACACCATCTACCACTCCACCTGCACTGCCAGCTAGAGGTGGAGGTCGAGCAGGTAGAGGTCGCCCTAGAGGGGGAGTCCAGGCCATATACTATGCCCTTCTTGCTAGGACGGAGGCAGTTGCATCCGATTCTTTCATCACATGTATTATTCCGGTCTGTCAAAGAGATGCATCAGTCTTATTTGATCCAGGCTCCATTTATTCCTATGTGTCATCTTATATTGCTCCGTATTTGGGTGTATCCAGTGATTCTCTGAGTTCACCTGTCTATGTATCTACACTAGTGGGTGATTTTATTGTTGTTGACCGTGTGTATCAATCGTGTTTGATTGTTCTTAGTGGTTTTGAGAATAGAGCCGATTTATTATTGCTCAGTATGGTGGATTTCGATGTTATTTTTTCGGCATGGACTGGTTGTTGCCCTATCAAGCTATCCTTGATTATCACGCCAAGATGATGATATTGGCTATGCCATGTCTATCGCGGGTAGAGTGGAGGGGTACCTTAAATCATGTTCCTAGCAGGGTTGTCTCATTTCTTAAGGCTCAACGAATGGTTGAGAAGGGGTGTGATGCATATCTGGCTTATGTGAGGGATGTTAGTGTTGATACTCCTACCGTCGAGTTTATTCCGGTAGTGAGGGACTATTTAGATGTATTCCTGACGGATCTTCCGGGCATGCCACCCGATAGGGATATTGACTTTGGCCTTGATTTTATTATTGGGGACACAACCCATTTCTATTCCACCATATCGTATGGCTCCAACAGAGTTGAAAGAATTAAATGAACAGTTGCAAGAGTTGCTCGATAAGGGCTTCATTCAGCCCAGTGTGTCGCCTTGGGGTGCTCCTATCTTGTTTGTAAAGAAGAAGGATGGCTCTATGCAGATGTGTATTGATTATCGCTAGTTAAACAAGGTTACAGTGAAGAACATGTATCCATTTCCATGTATTGATGACCTATTTGATCAGCTTCAGGGTGTTAGAGTGTTCTCTAAGATCGACTTGCATTCAGGCTATCATCAGTTAAAGATTCGGGAGCCAGATATCCCGAAGACTGCTTTCAAGACTTGGTATGGTCATTACGAGTTCCTTGTGATGTCTTTTGGGCTGACCAATGCCCCAGCAGCATTCATGCACTTGATGAACAGTGTATTTCAACACTATCTTGACTCTTTCGTCATTGTGTTTATTGACGACATTCTGGTGTACTCTTGGAGTCGGGAGGATCATGAGCAGCACCTGAGGACTGTGCTTCAAACCTTGAGAGAAAAGAAGTTATATGCAAAATATTTGAAGTGTGAATTCTGGCTAGAGTCAGTGGCATGTTTGGGTCATGTAGTATCAAGTGAGGGGATCAAGGTAGATCCGAAGAAGATTGAAGTAGTGCAGAGTTGGCCCAGACCATCCTCAGCTACGGAGATCAGGAGTTTTATTGGCTTGGCTGGGTACTACCGTTGATTCATAGAGGATTTCTCGTCTGTTGTAGCACCTATGACCAGATAGACCCAGAAGAGTGCTCCGCTCAGGTGGACCGAGCATTGTGAGGAGAGTTTTCAAAAGCTCAAGATTGCTTTGACTACAGCCCTAGTGTTGGTGTTGCCTACTGGTTAGGGGTCCTATAAAGTATATTGTGATGCATCGTACATTGGTCTAGGTGTGGTGTTGATGCAGGACGGTAGGGTGATTGCCTACGCGTCTAGACAACTGAAGGTGCGTGAGAAGAACTATCCTGTCCACGACCTCAAGTTAGCAGCTATTGTTCATGCCTTGAAGATCTGGCGGCACTATTTGTATGGTGTCCCTTGTGAGGTTTTCACCGATCACCGGAGTCTACAACATCTCTTTAAGTAGAAGGATCTTAACTTGAGGCATCGGAGATGGTTGGAGCTGCTTAAGGATTATGACATCACCATCCTCTATCATCTCGGTAAGGCCAATGTGGTGGCCGATGCTTTGAGTCGCAAGGAAGAGAGTTTGGGCAGTTTAGCATATCTACCAGTAGCAGATAGGCCTTTAGCCTTGGATGTTCATGCCTTGGCCAACCAGTTTGTCAGATTAGATGTTTCTGAGCCGAGTAGAGTTTTGACTTGTGTGGTTTCTCAGTCTTCTCTTTATGATCGTATCAGAGAGCATCAATATAATGACCCCCATCTACTTGTCCTTAAGGGCACGGTTTAGCACGGCGATGCCAATGAAGTCACTATTGGAGGTGACGATGTATTACGGATGCAGGGCAGGCTATGTGTGCTAATGTAGATAGATTACATGAGTTGATTCTTCAGGAGGCTCACAGTTCGTGGTACTCCATTCATCCAGGTGCCGCGAAGATGTATCAGGACTTGAGGCTGTACTATTGGTGGAGGCAGATGAAGAATGACATAGTGGAATACGTAGCTTGTTGCCTAAATTGTCAGCAAGTGAAGTATGAGCATCATCGGCCAGGGGGATTGCTTCAGAAGCTAGAGATTCCAGAGTGGAAATGGAGCGGATCACTATGGATTTCATTGTTAGGCTCCAACGGACTCAGAGAAAGTTCGTTGCATTTTGGGTGATTGTGGATAGATTGACCTAGTCCGCTCATTTCATTCCTGTGGTTACTACTTACTCTTCAGAGCAGCTGGCTCAAGTTTACATTCCCGAGATTATCAGGCTTCATGGCGTACCGGTATCTATCATCTCTGACTGGGGTACGCAGTTTACATCGCGATTCTGGAGAGCCGTACAACGTGAGTTGGGTAATCGGGACGAGTTGAGTACATCATTTCACCCTCAGACGGACAGACAGTCCGAGCGCACTATTCAGAGATTGGAGGATATGCTTTGTGCATGTGTGATGGATTTTGGGGGTGCTTGGGATCAATTCTTTCCACTTGCGGAGTTTTCCTACAATAACAGTTACCAGTCGAGCATTTAGATGGCACCACATGAGGCTTTGTATGGTAGGCGAAAGCAGTCTCCAGTGGGTTGGTTTGAGCTAGGTGAGGCTAGACTATTGGGTACAGATTTGGTTCAGGATGCTTTGGAAAAGGTTAAATTTATTCAGGATCGACTTCGTATAGCCCAGTCCCAGAAAAAGAGTTATGCGGATCGGAAGGTTCGCGACGTTGCATTCATGGTTGGGTAGCAGGTCTTGCTCCGGGTTTTGCCCATGAAGGGTGTTATGAGGTTCGGAAATAAGGGCAAGTTGAGCCCTAGGTATATCAGGCCTTATGATATTCTTGAGAGATTTGGAGAGGTGGCTTACAGACTTGCACTACCAAATAGTCTCTCTGCAGTTCATCCA